TCCTTAGGGAGGTGCCAGCCTCATCTCTTGAACTTCCACGCTCTTGTTGGGGGCTAAGAACACGCTTATCTCCCTGAGCGTGGCTTTCATAAGTCTATTCCATCACAATAGGCTCCGTTCTTAACTATGGGTCGTCTGTAAAACGGGTATTCTTAACCCGGGGACTCCCTGTAGAGCTGCAAAACATATGCTGGGATCTTTTAAAAAACCAAAGGGGACCCTACCCTTTGTAATCCTAGCTAATTGGTCGATAGTGAATGTCCTGACACCACATGCCCAAATCTGACTGGCTATATTACAGGTGGTGAACCACAGACCCTCCCATTATTACTGGATGTCAGGATGATCAGTGCTGATAGACGGCATGAATTCTTTCATGTTCTTTCAAGCGGCCCATAAAAATAACCAAACATTTTAAATGCTTTTCAAACCCATTTCCTTGCTTCACCTCTACTAGCTTGGCTGATTAACAGCAGCTGCCACCTCTCGTGAACTCACTAGGAATCAGGAAGGAATGGTATAAACCCAAACAAATAAACAAATAAATATACTCAGCCCTCACTATTATCCAAATGCTGATACAGCAGAGAAACTAATTTCCTTGCCTTGGCTTTCAATAGGGTCATATTGAACTTACATGGCAAACTTGAGTTCTGACCTTGGAAGATACCATTATATCTTTGTTCTGCTTAACAAACACTTTTTTTTTAACTCTAGAAACATGCTTTATGGGTTTTTTTTTTTTTAGTTTTGTTAGATTAAAAACATTAATTCTAACTTTGATAGATTTTTAAAATGTACATGAATTACGTACCCACAATTCCAAAGGAGTCAGAAATGATATATACTTACAGATCCCTTTTCCATCACTCTGTTAAGCATGACAACGCCACGGCTTTTCTGTTCCCAAATCATCTCCCAAAAGTGACCACAAGTATTTGGAAGCGGACCCTGAAAAAGATACCAGACTTTCAAGAAAAAGCAGTATTCATATGGCACAAATTTCAGAGTAAGTTCAATAGTGTGGCTTCCATTTCTAGGTATGTAAAATCTGTTGTCCAGATTGGGGCAATTTAGAAGTAACAACAAACAAACAAACAAACAATAGCAAGCTAGTTAGCTTTAGAAGTTGCTAGATTGTAATATTTAACCATGCATAGGTTGAAGATTTTTGTATCAATAGGCAAGGACACGTATGCCTATCTTCTAGAAGGGAGATGGGAAAGAAACGTTCTCAAGGCAAATATGTCACTCAGCAGGACAAAATTTATTCTGTAGTCAATGTGACTTCTAGTTTGCGGAGATGAGGAATCATAAAAGCTCATGGGTAGGAACTTCAGTAATTTTTAACATTTCATGCTGCCTTGATTGGATGGTCAGGAAGAGTTTACAATTCAAGCTAGATGTTTACCCCCACCACTTTTAAGGTAACCTTCTTCTAGGTCAAAGGCTCTTCCTTTCCCATCAAATTACACCATGCTGCCCTGAGATACTGAAGCATAACTATAAAAAAATTGCTCAGAATTGAAATAGTAACAATAACAAAAACTAACCAAAGATAAATCTTGATCCTGTAAGCCTGGCATATTCCGGGAATCTTACATTGAAAATGCATGACAGAAAATTACAGAGAATGACTAAAATCCATTTCATTAATTCACAAATGACACTTAGAATATCAAATGTATGATGTCTTTTGTAACAATTTATATATATATATATATATATATA